TATTACCTTCACTAATCGAAATAGTGTATTGCAAAGCAATAGTTTTCTCATAAAATCTGTTTTCCTTACCAAACTACATTACTTACAAGTAGACACGGATTCTTTTACTTATTAACAGCACACGCCTGAATGCAAAAAGAAGTACAATCAAAGTAATGATTCTAAAAAGAGTTCACCAAAAAAACCTATCACTTTTTTATTCGTGATCTCATGGAACGCTGCGCAGATTGGATAATTTCCTAACAATTAATGTACAAAATATAAGCTCACAGGAGCACATCCGCAGTCTACTTATAAATAGTATAGTAACAAAGTCTGAAGAGGCGCTGAAACAATTTGATGGTTCGAAAAGAATACTCACGTCTGACTTAATACTACTTTTTAATTTCAGCAGCTTTTAAATATAGAATATCTTTGTACATACACGTGTGAGTGGCTATTGCTGTTTTTCGACAGGTAATGTTATCGTCTTGTAAAGTACGAATTTAGCCGGCGTCGACGTTGCATCGCGACGAGGTATCAGCAAAGCGACACAATTCCTATTTTCAACGTTACTTTTTCAATGTGCTTTCACCCTGCTTTTAAATGTTACTTTCTCTACACAACGCACATGGCCGCTAAATCCGCACCTTAGTCGTCATATACACTGCGCATATTAAACGAATTTACACATTAAACGAATATGATTTTATTTACATTTGAGCGACAAATACAGAATAGGTTTGTTTTTCTGTCTATCGAATCGCAATAATACTACTTATCAGCATCGATGATTCCAATGGAAACATATCAATATGAAAATCCATTGATGTAATATATATATTTATATATATATATATAAATGGAACACTTCGTGTGTTCCATTGAATGAAATAGCGATATTACAATAAAAGGAAGAAAATATTTAAATTCCATTGACTATTTGCTTTCAACTGTTACTTAATTCTTCAATGCCCATTCCTCGGTCCAATTACGTTTCCACTTCTTTGACACCACTGTTTCATTTTCTTCGTTGTTGTTTTACATATATAAATTAATTGAAAATATGTAAGAAACTGGTGAAGCAACTATAGTGGAGTAGTATTTTCAGTAGTTAACATCATTTGTGTCCAATTAGTTTATAGAAATCTAGCTTCCTATGAAAGTATAAGATAATCTAAATAATTTCTTAACATAATTGGAATATTAAAAATTGTATCGCCAATTGAAAGCAATAGACACTGATGCACGAATATTTTCTCCTCTTAATGTATGTATTCAACACGTGTAGTTTTCTATAATAAGAAACAGTGGATTCAGTTACAGTAGTCTCCCATTATGTACATATCAATTACTTACTTTACTCTTTTGATAAACTAAAGCTGCAACAGCTGCCCGATCAATACAAAGAATATTTATTATCCTGCCATGATTGCAAACTAAGCTGCGGATTTTATATTTCCAATACATTCACGTTTGTCTGAAATTGAACGTAGGAGTTCATAAAATTTAATGAAGTTCTTATTTCACTTGGAACGTGATAGATTTTCTGGTAAAAATACAAAAAATTAAATTCTAAATGTTTTAATAGTAATGAATTATACCTATTTTACTTTTCTAACTTCAAGGTATTTTTACAACCATATGCAACGCAAAGGAGTAAACAAGTAAATAGCATAACAAAACTGATGCATGTATAGAATGAGAGACTACGGTAACCTGTTTATGGCCAGATGCAACGATCGTGATTAAGTGTTTGAAGTATGGTGAGTATGGTGTAAGAAAATAATACAATGAATTTCGATCCGCGCGAGCATTGTCATAACCCACGACAATCTGGAAATCATGCTTGAGAAATGAACGTTTGAAATGCGAATTATATACACAATGACATGTTATTCGTGGAACTGTGACCGATGCACTTTTTATTTTTGTCAGATGTTTCATGTCTCACTCGTGACTCTGAATGCTAACGCGAAGCAAGTAACGTATTCCATGCTATCCTAGAGAATTGTTTACAACGAAGTGAGTGATAAAGCTAAAATACGTAAACACTACGCTTTAGTATCTAGTCAGATTTTTGTCATTGTTGGCAATAGATATTAATAATAATAATAATAATCAATATTCATTCCGAACAACATTCCTGTACAGGATGCTCTATAGTAACTTGTTCGTGACGAATTGGAAACCTGTCCTCATGCCTGAAAAACTACAGCGAAGGAGACGTGTAATGAGAGAGCATGTAAGAAATAGTTCTTCCGATTTCCTTAATTAGTCTGAGATCAGCGTGTACAGGAATATCTTCAATGTAATAAAGATAAACTTAACTTCTGTTAATAAATAAATATCAGAGACGCATTATAAAGAATGTGATGCTTACTGGAAGACGGTATTAGAATCTGACTGTAAGAGATTTACTTTAATTTTATTAAAAACGAGGGCACATGAGGATACAGTTGTAATATTTTGATTGTTCAAATAACTCACCGACATAATAATTATTAGTTACAAATGATTAGGAATCCATTCGTTTCAGAAAATGCTCTGTTAAAGCCTCGTATAAAGTTATTTATAAGAATATATTTCATTACAAAACAAAGAAGTCGAAAAGGAAAAAAGGAATTCACAAGATATACGCTCTTGCATGACAGAGAAAAGAAAAAAGACACATGATTAATACTGAGGGAAATAAATCACAGAATTTAAAATCGTTTCTTCCAACTGTATCCGGTGACTTCCTCTACTACGCAAACCACCGTTCACTCTAAAGTGCTGGACAACAAATTCGGTTGACAGTATGAAACTTCGTTTATTCGAAATCCATGCAATAATGTCCGCTTTTGTCAATTCTCCCCACCCACCCATTTACTAATATAAAGATCCGAGGAAACCAACGACGTCTTTAGTGTCTGCCCACCCTTATCCCCGTAATTTGATACTCAGCACTCTGGTCGCATAGCTCTAAATTTATACATAAAACAATTGGTAAACAATGATTTAACGTATCAGACAGGTAGCGCAAATACGTTGAGGCCCGATGCAGTCGTCGTGACAAAAGGCGCCACACTGCCGGCATATTACCATTGCACCTCTCATATTACATTCACACGGAGGCGGTGGATCTCCACCCATTATCATACCAGGCGCTGCAGGTTCAGCGCCACCACCTCCTCTGCCATCATTACCCCTCGCTTTCAACGTCACAGCTTGATGGGAGCCTTCTCCAGCGCTGGCTGGCCTGCCACGTACCAAATGCACCCCAACGCCCATTCCAGCTATCTGTGGGGGCAAGGGTGGCGCAGAGGACGCCCTCGGTGCACTGTCTCCGACACCTGTCCTTTGTACAAGTATGTATTGCCCTAGACCACCTGTTGTCGTGGATCCTAACTGTGCTACGGTATTGCTTTCTGGAACCTGAAAATTCAGTCTTGCTATTAGTTGCGAAGCAGATTTCCTATTAGCACTGATTGACTGGAAATCTTAACGCTCTTCGAGTAAAGGTTTAACTCTTTACGGATGAGACTGTCTTTGAATTCTAACATTTCATAAAAAACCGAATGCTGTTGAAGTCTTAAAAATTAAAAAAGAGCCACATGTCTCTTGTTGGTTGAATAATTAAATTCTTAAATTATAGTTTTCGATTTTAGGTGTTGAAGCTTAAAAAGTCACTGTTACGACCGCAAAGAGTTAAATCATGAAGGCCAACCACTTTGACAGGTTTAATAATTAAAATAGAGAAATCAGTCCAACGGGTCTAAGGCAAAATTTAAAGGATACTATAGAAAACATAATGACGCAAGTTTTGACCTAATGCAATCCTGTACAATGGTTTACCTTCTTAAATTGTGTATAAAGAATTGTCGTATTCGTATTTGTTAAATAAGCTCTTTTCTTTAAGTTGTACGCAAATAAAAATGGCATTACTCAAATGTACTCATACGTTTCATTTGACTAATATTATCTCCTCTCTGAAAGTTTAAAGTATAATACCTTCTCCACTACATTTAGAAACTCCAAATTAGTAAAAAGATTTATTTATTAGATACCTGTATGATACAGTGATCAACACAAGCCACTCGCAAGATTAGCACTGTACACACAGAAAAAGTATAAAATAGTACCATGACTGTAAAATAGTACCGTCTATTTCATACGAGTGATCCAAAAGGCGAATTGCAGAATTAACCAAACGAAAATAAGCATATTATTTTCTATTCAAATTCTGTATCACCTTGAAAAGTCTCCGACTGTTTCATCCCCATTCCAACAAATGATAACGAGCAATTACGTTCTCCAATTTGCAAGATTATCGGAAATGATCTCGAGAGCGATGCGTTTTTAAAAT